GTGGAGGAGTTGTTCCAGGGGGATAAGTAGATTGAAGAGCTGAGGGGTTAGGGTATTCAAGGGAGAATCGGCGAGTATGATGAAATCCCCTAGTATGAGGACAGGAGTTGGGAGGAGACAGAAACTGTGAACTAGTTATTAAACTCATCGTGAAAGAAAGGGGTGAGTGACCTGGGAGTCTGTAGAAAACAACTACCAGGATTTTGATTGGGTTGTAGATAGGATTAGCATGAAATTCAAGAAAGAGAGGATCCTGAGGGATGGTGAATCCAGAAGTGGCAATGTAGAGTATCCCAACCCTCCTGCCTTGAGGTGAGGGAACAGGCAGGGAGGCCTTGTTGTGAGGTGATGTCTGAACTAAATAGAAACCGTAGTTACAGCTTCTTAATGTGAGGAGAAAAGTATTTTCCCCTTTTTAAAGAGGAGGGAGCTGAGACAGACAGAGCTTAAGTGACTTGTCCAAGTTCCCCTTACCTTGGGGCAGTTAAGTGAGTCAAGATTTGAACTGAAGTCTTTCTGACTCCAAGCCTAGTACTCCATCTACTGTGCCACCTGGCTGCTGCTTCAGGAAGAGGTAAGTGCAGAGGCAGTTGAGGATGATGGAGTCATAGTTCAAGCAGGAACAGAATGAACAGAGGACTTAGGTGTATTGAGAAGTGGTGAGTGATTTAAGTGAAGGCATGGTGAAAAGACAGGCAAAGATCTAGTTTTGAGGATGCGGTCCAGGACATATGGGAAGGTGGGACATACTGAATTTGAGAAACTTGCTGAATGTCCTGAGGAAAGGACTGTAAAGTACCCAAGATTTTAAAGACATAAAGCCAAGGATAGAGAATTAGGAGTCTTTTGTTCATTCACCCTTACAAGAAGGGGTTAGAAGGGTCATCCTTAGAAGAAAGGGTTGAGACTAGGAAAATGGGCAGGCATTTTTTTTTCTCTTAGGAGAACTAAGTCCTCCATCCTCTCCTAGAATGGTGACCACTATCCTTGCCTGGATGACTTAGAGGGATTAGTAGCTGTGGGCCGAGATCTCCCTGTTGGGCTAGAGGAGTTGAAGCAACTGGAACTACAAGTGCTTACAGCTCACTCCTGGAGGGAGAAGGCTTCCAAGACTTTCCTCAAAAAGAATTCCTGCTACACTCTTCTTGAGGTGAGCTTTAACATTCTGTTATCTTTTTTTCCTGTAACCATTAACCTTAATCCTCCCTGTAATTCCTCCTACTTTTCTTCTTCAATTCCTACTTTGTGATTGGGCACACGGTTTCTCTGTACTTTAAACCACTCATCTCCATCCCTGTCCATCAGGTATTGTGTCCGTGTGCAGATGCTGGCTCAGATACTACGAAACGGAACCGGTGGAAAGAAAAGGAGCTGGGACTATACAAGTCAGACACAGAACTTTTGGGTCTCTCAGCCCAAGACCTCAGAGATCCGGGCTCAGTGGTGAGGCTTGTATAGCTACCTTGTTACTTTAAGCTACCTTAAAGTCCCAGGAGGGGCTAGACGTAACCTTATCTACCATTTAAAAAGGAATAATTTAACTGGGAAAAGAACTTTGGGCTAGGAATTGAGATTTGGGGTTCAAGTTCTCCTGTGTACCCTTTTTCCCTCTTTGAGCAAGTCTGTCTCCCTATGTTTTTTATTGTTGTTGTTATTGGTTTTTTTTGTTTGTTTCTGTTTTTTTGTTTGTTTTGGGTAGGCGGTGGGGTTGAGTGACTTGCCCAGGGTCATACAGCTAGTCAGTATTATTTGTCTGAGGCTGGATTTGAACTCAGGTCCTCCTGAATCCAGGTTTGGTGTTCTATCCTCTGCGCCACTTAGCTGCCCCTGTTGTTGTTTTTTTAATAACAAGAGGATTACCTTTTTCTATTCCCTAACTTTTTCTGCTTCATGATTTTCCCATCAGCACAGTGACAGAATTTAACTTAAGAATTTCTCTGTAGCTCTGAATTCTAGGATCCTAAACACATGTAAACAACAGGTCCTTAGTATTTTAGTCACAAAAATCACTGTTTTTGACTTAGGTTTCAACTCAGGGTTCCCCTGGCAACATCAAAAGTTGACGTTTATACATCTTCACAACAGAGGGCCAGGGTTTTTATTTCTCTATGTATGCACCCAAGATAAGCAACAAATAGGTTTCCTCTGACAAGAACAGATGTTTCTAATGTTATGTTACATAAGTCACTGTTTCCTGTGTTAGAGTTAGAATACAGTGCCTGACACAAGGCAACATTTGGTTGTAATGAGGCTTGGGCTCCCTAAAATGGACTGTAATGTCTTTCCTTGGTGCAGATTTTGGCTTTCAAGGAGGGTGAACTGAAGGAAAAAGAAGGCATCCTTCATCTTCGTCATGCCAACATGACCAAGCCTTGCCCATCAGCACTTATATCTGATGATGTCACACCCTCATCTTGTTTGTGTGGGCGGGCACCAGTGGGTGAGGGGGCTATCCAGTGTGATCTGTGCCAGGATTGGTTCCATGGGAAATGTGTATCAGCCCCTCGACCCGGTGTACCCCGGCCACTGAATCCTATCTCCCCAGTTCCCCTGGCTTGGTGGGAGTGGGATACAAAATTCTTGTGCCCACTTTGCATGCGCTCCCGCCGCCCTCGCCTGGAGACTATTCTAGCTCTTCTGGTGGCTTTGCAGAAGTTGCCTGTACGGTTACCTGAGGGGGAGGCCCTACAGTGTCTCACAGAGCGAGCTATTGGCTGGCAGGGTCGAGCACGCCAGGCCTTGGCCTCCCATGATGTGGCAGTGCTCCTGGCTCGCCTAGCTGAATTACGGCAATGGCTTCAGCAGCCAACTGGACCTCCACCTGGGGCTACTTGCGCCCAGCTTTTTACCCCAGCACCGGTTCCACTGAGAGAGAACATCAGCAATGAAACCAAGGTAAGAATCATGTTCAGAGTGCCCTGTTTATTCCAAGCTGTGTTCCTTGTCTCAGGAGAGTTGTCAGTTGTGAAAGGAGTCAGGAGAGATTTCCTTGGATAAGATTTTGGAATAGAAGGTAGGAATGAATCTGTATGCTTCTCTCACTCTTTCCTCCTATTCTGGTCACTATCCCAGGTATCTTTGGACAGTGGTGATGGCACTATAAAGCTCAAGAAGACCAGCCCTGGGGGATTCTCAGGTAGGAAATCAAGGAATATGTGGGGGGAGGAAGAGGGATGGAGACAGAAAAAGAGTCCCTGTCTGTTTGAGGGATTCTGGGGTTCTTAAATCTTTATCTGCAAACTGAACGTTGTTTACATTCGTGGGTTTTACAGACCTAGATATGCTGTTATCACTGCTGCCACAGCTGAAAGGCCCAGTGCTGGAGTTGCCTGAGGCAGCACGGGCTCCATTGGAGGAGCTGATGATAGAGGGTGACCTGCTTGAGGTGACACTGGATGAGAACCATAGCATCTGGCAGTTGTTGCAGGCTGGCCGTCCTCCGGATTTGACACGGCTCCGCACATTACTTGAGGTGAGGTTGCTTTGAGGGTTGAGGGTTGGTTTCAGAGATTGCAAAATGTTTGTGTTATCTGAGCTGTATGCCTTCTCTTTACCTGTTAATCCCCAGCTGGAGAAGGCAGAGCAGGGTGGAACCCGAATTCGGGGTCGAGCACTAGAGAAACGGCATCGTCTGAAGACAGAGAAGAGTGGTGAACTCAAGGATGCATCCCGGGAACAGCTGGAGCCAAAGAGAACACGGGCCAGAGTGGCAGTGGGTGAAGAAACTATGAAGGATCATGAAGAGGACAGGGGCATGGGACTTCCTGGTGGTGTTGCTGTCTCTGCAGCTAGGCTGATCAAGGAGAGTGATAGTCCTAGTCAGAGCCAGCATAATGTAGAGGTGAGGCCAGGGAGTTGGGGGATTAAATCAACTAATTGTCCCTCTGGCATCTGCCTGTTGCCCACTTCCCCTTGTCTTTCTCTTTGTTCTTCGAAGCAGGATTTGTGACATCCTGTAACCAGATGACTACCATCTTAACCCCTTTCACCATCTTTGTTGTCTCCCACTTCCTTCCCGCCCTGCCAAGCCCACATCAGGGCACGGTGATAAAAATGGGGAATAAGGATGGCTCAGATAGCTACAGTCCCTCCCTCTACCTTTTCATTTGTATTTCTGGTCCCATGGTTCATCCAATGTTTAGACCTCAGCACCTTGGCATAGCACTGAGGTCTTTTGGATTCAGTTCCCCTGAAACCATTCTGTTTTGGTTTGCTTCTCCATTCCTTGCTTTGGCAAAGCCATTACTATTGCAGGGATGAGGAGAGAAATTATAGCTAGGGGAGAATACTAAACTGGGCCAAGGGCTGTGCAAAGCTTTGTAAGTGTTCCTCTCCCACAGGGCCCAGTAAGGCTTATACCTAATTTCCCTTCCCATCCTTTTACCTTTTACATTCTTTTTTCTCTACCTACTATTGTCTTTATCTCTCTAACTCTGTGTCCCATTTTTTTTTCAAAACTCCTATCTCATCTACCCAGGGAAGAAGTAAGGAAGAGGAATGCTCTTTTTCATGACTTTCAGTCATGGGAGGTTTATAAGAAATCCTCTTTAGTAATGAAGCAAGCCACCTTGCTGTCAGCTCTTCCTCCTACCTCTCGCCTCTCTATCTTTCTCGTTCTTTCTTTATGTGTTTACCTAATTCTGGGTTATTCGTATCTTGTACAAGTGAAAAATACCTATTACTGGAATGTGATTATTTGTTCAAAGAAATGGTGGCCCACCACTACCCCCCAAAACCCACAGGAAACTCTTTGTTCTTGAGATTTCCTATTTTAATTTAATTTTATTATTTTCCTCATGTTAGGAATAAAAGAAAAGGGGTTTTTGTTTGTTTATTTGTTTGATATTTGTTTGTTATTACCACCTTAGTGCTTTTCTGGATGTTAGGGTATAATTAAGGGAAGGTTTGTAGGGGAGAGGAAAGCAAGGTTAGGTTCCAACATGTAATTTTGGGACAGAGCCCCAGAATGACAATTAGGAAACTTCATTTCTTGCCTTGCTCTGCCACCCTCTCACAGTTTGACCTTCAGTGTGTCCACCCTTGTTTTCTAGGCCCTTGTTTTTCTATCTGTACAATAAAAGAGTTTGAATTTACAGAAAGACTAGAAAATTCCAAATGCTCATACTTTTTTATTTTCCTAACCTGGCTTTGTTAGAGCTGATTTCCTTGCCTAAAAAGTTGATTTTCATTGAAGGGAAGCATTCGGAGGCATTGTATTTATGCAACTGTAAGAAGAGGAAGCTGATGAATATAAAACTTCTCTCTCCCTTGTTGAAAATTCACATTACTTGGAATTCCACTGTTAATTTTTTTTTTTTAAAGGCTATTGGGGTTAAGTAACTTGCCCAGGGCCATACAGCTAGTAAGTGTCAAGTGTTTGGTCTGAGGCGAGATTTGAATTCAGATCCTCCTGATTTCAAGACCAGTGCCAGCTAGTTGCCCCTACTAATGGTTTTAATGAAGTGGAATTGGCCCAAACACCTAACCACACCATCCAGAGTTGACAGATCACCAGGGCTTTCATGCTGTTGGAGCCCTGGTTGGATGCCTCTCTTTTTATGCCCAGTATGAGAGGATAAACCTCTTTTCTTATACCCTTGAGCATCAGGAAAGGAGGGATTCTAGATGAGGGACATAGAACCCCAAGTTTGGGAACCATGTCTTGGATGCTTCCTTTTCCCCTAGCAGTCCCTCTTTGGGCTAAGTAGTCCAGATCCAACTATGGACCCCATGTTCTCTGTGACATAAGGTCACTCTTTAGAAGACAAGCTTAAACTATTGTTCTCTTAACTCTGAGGAAAAATATTTTGCTTGGGTTAGTCTGTTTTCAGAGATTGACCAGGAATAGTCTTGGTGGGGGTGGGGAGAGGGAGAGAAGCTCATGTAACTAGTGTCAAGAGATGAATTGAATCTCACATTGCTTGTAGGAAAACTGAAAGAAACAGCTGCTTTCCCTTTTTCTCTTCTAAAAATGGTGCCCTGTTATCTTAGGCAACTTCTATTGCTTAGCATCCTAGAGCATCCAGAAAAGTTGGTGGGGTCATGAAGCCCTTATCTATGTCATTTGGTGAAGAGAAATCATCTAGTATAGAAAGGCAATGGGACAGAAAGGCAACTTGCACTTAATTGCACTTGACTAGAGACCCGACAAGTTTAATCTGTTTTAGGACAGCTCTTAATATCTTCTCTCCAGGTTAATCACTCCTAGTTTTTTTGGGGAGGGGCAATTGGGGTTAAGTGACTTTCCCAGAGTCACTCAGCTAGTAAGAGTCAAGTGTTTGGTGTGAGGTTGGATTTGAATTCAGGTCCTCCTGACTTCAGGGCTGGTGCTGTATCCACTGTGCCGCCTAGCTGCCCCTGCTCCCAGTTTTCTTTAGCTATTCAAATAACAAGTCTCAAGGCCATTTGTCCTATCTGTTGTCTGATAGCTCTTTAGCTTATTAGTGTTCCTCATAAACTCTGGCATCAAGAATTAAGGACACTATTCAGACAAACTTAGTAACAGGGCACAGTGAAAGTTACCTTTTTTTTAGTCCAGCACAAGATTCCATGAACTTTTTTGGCTGTTCTGTTGCTAACTCATTTACTGTCCATTAGAACCCCAGGTCATTTTCAAACAAAAAGCTCTGTGTGTGTACCTTATCTTGAATTTGTTTGAGTCCAAGTGAAAGAGATTGCACTCATAGCTATTAATTTCATCTTAGTGAATTCAGCCCAGTGCTTTCTTTTGTGATCGTAAGTTGTCCATCATTGAGACTTTTGAATGTTTGATGAGATTGCAAATCATGCAAAACATATTAAATGACATGTAGCTAACCATATCCCTTTGGGGTATTCCACTGGACATCTCCCACTATGTTACCATTGGACAGGGTTTATGGCAACCCTGTAAGTAGCCATTGAATCAGCCTAATTATGTTAATGAAGGCTGTATACCTGAACAAGAGCAGTATGAGATACATTACCAAATGCTTTGTTAAAATATAGGTAAACTATACAGTGTTCCCTTTTCTGTCTGCTTAGAAAACATGAATTTAACATGTCATGGCATGACTTGATCATAAAGCTAGGATGGCCCTATAATTATTGCTACTGTTATTCCTCTAGACTTCTGGGATTTTCTCAGGAATCTCAGTTTAAACTACTGGCCAAAGTTTTACAGTCTGTTTTTTTTTCCTTTTTTGAAAATTGGGATGTTTGCTCTCATTCAGCCTTGGGGACCTCTCCCATTCTCCATAGCATTCATATATTGCTGACTGTGGCTCAGTAATCACACCTGCCAGTTCTTTTGGTGTACAACAGTGTAACCCTACCACCTTGTTGGAATGATAGTCTGTTGTCTAATCTATTTAAAATTTAGTTTTATTCTGCCCTTTCCAGTGTAGGGATCAGTCATCTTTTCAGGGAAAATAGAAAATAAGAAAAAACATAAAAAACAACCTTCTCTGCCATCGATGATCATTGTCACATTGGGGAGTTTCCTTTTTCTCCCAGCAAAACAAATCTTCTTGGGCTGATTTATAATATAGTTTATTTGGGGAGTCTTATTTTTCCTAAAAAAGGAAACCGTCTGTCAAAGAGTTATTGGTAGAAATGTGACAGGTTGACAAGAGTGGTGGTGGTAGTTGTTGTTTGTCCTTTCTCAAAGAGCACCAGGATGTCAAGAAGGTGATGCCATGATGTGCAAGTGAATTGGATTTAAGTGAGAGAGGGCTGTGCAAAGTCCCCAGCCTCGCTTTCTCCTCTGGAGCCATCTGGGTTCAATGCCAGATATAAATCAAGACAGCTGGAAATGGCCCAGATGCATTGGGAGACCTTGGCCCTTTTGGTGATTAAGGCTAGGTAAGAAATGAGACAAGGAATGGCCTCTTTTACCCAGTCAAAAAAACAAATCAGTTTGGGAGGGGAAGACCCTCAGAGTTTCTGGGCAAAACAGAAACAACTACTGTTTACACTCACTCTGACCCATCTGGGCCTAAATGACCACTAAGTGAGGCTTGGGCTGGGACCTATTGTCTAGTCAATGAGAGCCAAGGTGAATTGGGATTAAGGCCTGGGTCCTCAAGAAAGAAATGCAGTCCATAAACCCCAAGATATCTTGCAAGGTTTCAGAGATCAAAATTTACATTCCTTTGGGCAGAGGTAAAGGTATGTATAATACCATATGTGGAGAGAGGGAGAGGAAGGAGAAAAGGAAAAGAGAGGAGAGGAAAGGAAAGGACCAGTAACGTAAAGAGACGATGCTTTTGGAAAACAGTGCATCATTACCGCACCTCTTCTTGGGCTCTCATCACATGTAGTACTTCATTGCCATTTGGAATTGATTACTAGCACAACCAGAATTACATTAGGGGAGCCAGAGTTACTAGAGAGCCGTGAGAATGGGAATAGAAAAGAAGGGGATGTACCTCAAGTCCTGTTTGCACCATGTATTCTTAAATGGAAAGAACGCGTAACTGAACAGTTCTTCACTTGATGCATCAACATTCTACAAAACTCCATGTGTGTGTGGAGAGGTGGTGGTGTGATTAACGTTCAAGTTCCTGCCTTTGGTAACACAGAATTTAGGGGATTCCCTTTTCTTATGCTTGTTTACACCTCCCAGAAATAATTTTAGTCATGGCTCATAATTGCAGGACTACTTATTAGACGTTCTACTTTGACACTCTGGGTACTTGTCTGCTGGCAAAATGGCAAAGTTTGGGCTTCTTTTTGTTGTTGTTTTTGTTTTTTTGGCAGTTGTCTTTTAGGATGCAGAACTCTTGCTACTGACATAGCCTACTTCTCCTAGTAATCCTATATCCTTCAGACCTCACAAACTCACATATCTGTCTGTCTCTCAAAAATCATATTTAGTTACCTACCGGGGTACATAAAGATAAAGACTCAGATACATACATAATACACAGAGTGATCAATTTTAAAACATTGCATATCAATGAAACAATTCCAACTTCTGGTCATGTTCAAATAACCCTTAATTAAAGTGGATGCTTCATTTAAGGCATTTAGATAGACTGTGAGCCATTTTTCTTTAAATTTAACTAATTTTAACAGAATAATATCCTGGTTTCACAAACCATTGACTGAATTATCCCCATACCATTATGAGGAATTAAAGGACCCTGACTTACACAGGAATATATACTAGTAACAGATGTGAAAGCTAAATACATAATTCTAACTTTCTAGGCCAAGTAGCTCAATCTTACACTTGCATCATACCATAGTAACCTCAGATGTTCCAGCCTCCATCTGTTATTTAATAGGTTTAATAGTGTGTACAAATTTTTGATTATAGAAATTTGTAATGAAAGAATAGGATGTAACCAAAGTAAGGGAACAATGTGTTCCTCACTTTATGTCCATTCAAGACTTATGTTACATAGATGGCCATCTGCATTGAGCCAGATTTAAAATATGGCCAGGTGTCATGGTGGGAAAATTGAGTCAGGAAAATCCTACCTCAGCTCATGCAGAAAAGTTGTTCTCAGTTCTCCTGATTTTACCATGAGAGCACCCTGTGCAGTTTATAGATGCAGTTCATAGAAGCCCCCTCACCCGCCCAGGGTTGCTGGCATCATGGGTCTGACATGACAGCCTTAAGTAGTTTGCATGCATTCCTACACATGTTCTAATTCCTGATTGAATACCATCATGAGTAAAATAAAATTTCCATTACGATCATAAGTTACTACTCTAATAGATTTGCATCTCTGTTTCTTAAGCTTATTTATCCTCCTCTAACCAAACTCAATCTGAAAGAACAAGACACTTCAGGAATTAAATCATACACATTTGATAAGTTCAAATACTTCAACCTTTGCTAGGTCATGGAATGAATTCAGATCAAAATAGCAAGATACCCTGTTTCTCAGCACACATTAAGGCCAGTCCAAGGACACAACAAGAGAGCTGTATTTCCCCCTGCTTTTTGATTCCATTACTTACTATCTTCTTTATTCTGGTATCCCACCTTGGCCAGTGTTGTCCAACAGATAAAGAGCAAGGATTTGGGGGATGATTTATTCATCCTTCAGGGCTGGGATTTCAGGAGAGAAGTCCTGTGAGTGCCCAGACTCAGCTCTGTTGGGGTGAAAAGTCTGTACCCCCAAAATCCAAGTCCAAATCTGTGTCATGGTACCATTAATGTGAAACCCCAGGAATCTCACAACCCCCAATTTGAAACAGAACCTGCTGTAAGAGATAAGTGAAGTCAGGGTGTGTGTGTCCCTGGTTTAATTTCTCTCAAGCTGGCTTGACATGCATTGATTGCATAGGAGTTCGGAACAGAATTGAGCCCCCCAAGATTTTTTGGGGGTATGGGTTATATGCTTTTCAAAGAGTAGGTGTGTCCCCAAAAGAAGCCAATGAACTCTGGGAGATGAGCTATATTAAAATGAGGGTCTTTTGGATACATGACCCAGGTCACTAGATCCTAGTCAAAGAGACATCAATTTCCATATCATCTGTCTTGACAATAAGAAGGAATCAACATTTGCGCAGACAAGGCAACACACTGAGCAGGAATAGATTCATTCAGAAAGATTGAATCTTGAAAACAGTGGGATGGGTAGCTCCGAGTTTCCAAGATAACGATTACTAAGAAAAATCATTTTTCACAATGTATATATACACACACAGACACACATATATGTGTGTATATATGTATATGCAGATATATGTGCATATGTATAATACCTCACTAATAGCCATTCTCCAATTGATAAAATGGGGCAGGTAGGTGACACAATGGATAGAATGCTGGGCCTGAAGTAAGGAAAACTCAGCTTCCTGAGTTCCAATCTGACTCAAACACTTAACTTGGTGTGTGACCCTGGGCAGGTCACTTAACCCTGTCTGCCTCAGTTCCTCATTTGTAAAATGTGGACACACTAGAGAAGGAAATGGCAAATCACTCTAGTATCATTGCCAAGAAAACCCCAAGTGCTGGACCTTAAGAATATGAATAATTCTCAAAAGAGGAACTGCAAATCTTCACAGATAGACTTTTTAAAATGCTCTAAATCACTAATAGTAAGAAAAATACACATAAAAATGACTTTGAGGTTTCAACTCACACTGTCCAAACTGGAAAAAATGACAGAAAAATGTAATAGTTAATATTGGAGGACTTGTAGAAGAATAGACACACTAATACATTGTACTTAGAGCAGTGAAATGGTACAACCATTTTGGAAAGCAATTTAGAATTATACACCAAAAAAAGTGACTAAAATAGCCAGGCCCTTTGAACCTGAGACTCCATTACTGAAATGATACACCAAGGAAGCCATCAATACTAATGAGAAAAAAAGCCCCTCATATGCTTCATAGCAGCACTTTTTGTGATAGCTAAGAACTGGAAACAAAGTAGATGTCCATCAGTTGGGGAATGGCCAATAAATTGTGATTTATTAATGTAATGGAAGGAATGATGTGTGATGAGTATAGCAGTGTAAGTAAGTAAGCCAAGCAGAGCCAAGAAAAAATAACACAGTAATGATTACAACAATATAAATGGAAATAACAACTACACACCAAAAGCTCAAAAGTAAATTGTAAGAAAATTATAAATATCAAACAGGACTTTAGAGGAGAGAGACAACCCCACCTACCCCTTTGTGGAGTTCGGAGTTCTACAGGTATTCAACGTTGCACATGTTTTCAGACTTTATTCAATATATCAAACCATGGCTCTGGGAGGGTGACAAGAAAGATTACTTAGGATAACTGTGGTGATGCAAGAAGCAGAGTATAAAGAAAATCTTTTTTTTTTTTTTTTAGGCAATTGGAGGTTAAGTGACTTGCCCAGGGTCACACAGCTAGTGTCAAGTGTTTGGTCTGAGGTCAAATTTGAACTCAGGTCCTCCTGACTTCAGGGCTGGTGCTCTATCCACTGCGCCACCTAGCTGCCCCCAAGAAAATCTTATTTTTAAAAAAGAAAAAAGAAAGTTGTACAAAATATCTTAGGAACAGCCAAATGTACAAATCTCAGAAATACTTGTTTAGTATTCTTTGGTGAAAGGGTAGCTAGAGATCTCTTATCTTTATTGACTTTTTATTGCATTATTTATTAAACTAGCCCAACTCTTATCTAATGAAACCAGCAAATTGTCAGATATTTGTGTTTTTCTTTAATTTTAATATTCAGTTTTTACAAATGTTTATAGCAGTATTACATTGCTTCAGGCTGAGTTTCAGCATATTCTGGTAATGCTTTGTCTGACCACCTTGGATGCAAATACTGATGGAAGAGTAGCATGAAACCAATGGATAACAGGTAGGTTATGATGAGTTGTAGGGCAATTAGTGAGTCACAGCAATACACTATTGCTTTCCCCCCTTGCAATCTAAACACCACTACCATGATCACATTTTCTATTAGTCGAAGACTATAGTGTAGAGCCATGTGACCCCAGTTCTGTGATTTATCAATTAATTCTCTATCAGCCAACCGCAGCCTCACTGCTGACCAGCAGGAGAAGTTGATGCCAGCATATAGAATAGTGATTAACATAAGCATGGCAAGAGTGCTCACTCGGCTAATATTTTTTTCAGTATTGCTAGGAAACTTTGCACCACTTCTCCAAAATTCAACCCAGGGCTCCAATAGGAGAACCATCAAAACACCTAACATGAAGGGCACAGCTCTCAATTTTAAGGATGCAGAGAAGAGCACCAGTATTACGAGGCGTGAGGTTATCTCCAGGCAACGCCAGATGGTGATACAGATGAATTCTAGAGCCTGTAGGTTCATCTTATAGTCATCATACTTGATTTGGATGGCCAATACATTACAGAGGATAGCCCCATAGGTAGTAGAAATCAGGGCAAAGGTCATCAGCACAGCTGTAAGAGAAACAGAAAAGAATGATGATTCCACCTAATTGGTTCTCTCCAAAGTTACCAGTGACATCTTAGTTGCAAGATTCAAAGGCCTTTTCTTAGTCCTCATTTTCTGTGACATCTCTGCAGTAAGAACTACCTGTTCATTTTGTGGTTTAAAAAGGTCTGTTTTTTCTAGAATGATTGTGACTGTTAACATGTATTGTGATATGATAGCTTGTTCTAGAACAATCAGCGATGGTAGATTGTTTTTGGGAAATCTTTAGATGAATGTATACAAAGGAGAGACCACCTTGACTGAAGGGGTAATCTGTTTATGTTCTGCACTTTATCTTCTTGTTGTTATTGTTTATGCTTTGTTCTTGAAGAGGGCCATGGCATCAGGAAGGTGATGCCATGATTTGTAAGTGAATAGGACTTAAGTGAGGGAGGGCTGTGCAAAATCATCAGCCTCACTCTCTCTTCTGGAGCTATGTGGGTCCAATGGCAATATGTAGATCAGATCAACTGGAGATAGACACTGCATTCTATCACTGCATGTTCTATGATGCATGTTCTGCATCATCTATAACACTGCATGTTAGATCCGTGAGTTTGAATAAAGGTCCGATTTTTTGGGTCATCCTGTCATTAAGCAATAATAATGATAAGACACTCAAGTTTCCTGTATCCTAGGACTCAGTTAACACAACTTACCTCTACCCAGGGGAAGTTCACGTGCTGTAAAGGTGACATATAACTGATAAGTTAGTTGTGGCACTGACCCAAGGAAGGCCTGGATCAATGCCATACATTTGAAGGCATTATAGTGCATGTATAGTATCTGTATTAAGTGAGCAATCTCCCATTCCAGTGTCCCTTTGCTGCTGTTTTGGAGTATCTTTCTTCGTGTTGTATTGATACAGGTTTCCTCTTTTTCGTACTGTTTCTTCAACAACTGAAGATAAATAAAAACAGCCTCCAAACATCTGTTAGAGCAAACCATCATGGGAATCTAATTAAAGTTTCTCTTTGACGTATTTGAATAGATGAAAATGCTACTTTTATAACTACCTTTATGTAATAATCTATTAACCTTATGAATCCTAGATACTTACGAATATTCTTTTTCGTGAAAGTTATTGTTAAGTCTTATGGAAATACAAAGCTATATAGAAGAACTAATTTGTCTTTAGGTAGTGGCAGTTCAGTAAAAATGGAGTTGTAATTTTATTATTTTCTTCCTGCCTGAAACTCTATAAAAGCAGGCAGAGAAAGCTTATTTTCACTGAGGACACTTAAGTTTCATGAATGTGCTTTGTATTATCCATCCAGCAACCTCTCGATACATAATGTGCTATGTACCATCCTACCACTTTTCCATTATCCATTTGTTTTAGATATAATCTGCGTCTACTACCTTTTATTTTCATTCTTTCATAATCTTAACTACTGACACAACTTCAAATATTAGCTTGATACAGATAATGTCTCCAGATATTTATTCTCTCCTGAAATTCAGACCCATTTCTCCAAATGGGTGTCCCATACATACATAAATTTTAGCATGCCACAAGCTGAAATTGTTTTGATTTTAGTGGTTTGAAAATAGACAGTAGATTCTAGACACTCCCCCTTCAACCTTCCCCTTCCTCTTGTCCCCTACAACTCCCCTCCTCTATCCCCCAAAAAACACAGCATAGACAATGGATAGAATTCTGGATTTGTGGGATACTAGTATGCTGTGAGAAATGATGCGCTAGTTGATTCTAGAAAATCATGGAAAAATTTGCATGAAAAAATGAAAAGAGAGCCAAGAGAATGTTGCATATAGTAATAGCAATGTTGTTCGAAGAATGATTGTTAACAACCAAATTATTCTATCTAAAAACTCAAATATAAAGGACCTACGAAAGAAGATGCTTTTCATCTCCAGAGAAAGAACTGATAAATAGAAGTATGCATAGTATGGTTTTACATGTGTTTATAAATCTTCATCAAATGGTGGCTTTCTCAAATGTGGGATGGGGAAGGAGGGAGGGAGACAGTTTGAACCTTAAAGTATAACAAAACAACATAAAACTGAATTTTAAAAAGCCTAGGAAAAAAGAATCCTGGATTTGGATGCTGATGCTTAATATATGAAAAACTAGGATCAAGTCACTTACCTGTTCAGAACCTCGATTTACTTAATGGTAAAATGGGAATACTTAAAGTATTAACCTCACAGGACTCTTGAGATAATCAAATGATATAATTCATGTAAAACACTATATAAACTTTAAAGGATTAGGTGAGTATAAAATAAATATGATGACACAACAATGGTCAATAGTAACCTCTTCCTTCATGACAATATCTATTCCACTCACAAATTTTTTGAGATTTTTAAAAAATCACATCAAGGCAAAACTTGCCTCTGTACAACTTCTATGTGTTATTCCTAAGTCTTCCCTTTTTGACCAAACCAAATAAATCTAATCCTAAACACTTCATGACAAGCGTTTATGATCCCCCTAATTATTCTATCTTTCAGGCTAAGAAACTAAACATCTAAAATCATTGCAGCCATCATCTGTTTCTTGGACAAAATAAACTCAAGGCATTTCTCAATCTTTTTTCCCCCTTACTGGAACGTAAACTGGATAAAATGGCACTAAAGGGAAGTAGAGTCAATATTAAAAGTATGTGGCTATATATATATATGTGTGTGTTTTTGACAAGTGTAGTAAAGAGAAATTTTTAAAGTTGCTTACCTAACAATAGGTCCCATAAGTAGAAAGTGCATGAATAGCACTAGAGGTTTATTCTTGGATAAGTCCTTATGAACAACTATTAGAGTCAGTTGGTCCATAATAGATCCACCAAAGCAGAAGATGGATGTAAATACCGTCCAGAACCTGTCATTACTTTTTCTATATATATCAATCATGTAGATAGCAGAAGCAACCTCACCACAGTAGAGGAATGTGGAAAATAGAATGCTAAATGGGAATGTAACCTGGGGACTGGTGCCACGTATTGTTCCTTCCTCCAGAGTCGGAATATCACCTTCTTCATCAGTACCTTCATAAACTGTGTCCATCTTCAGGGTGCTGAGTATAACAGATTTTTCTGATCAGTTAATTCCAACTTCAGATTCTGGCCAAATAGCAGTGAACAAGATGCTTTTCAGGGTCTGTTTGTTTGTTTGTTTGAGAGGTTGGGGGTAGGGGATGTGAACATTTGATAGATAAACAGGAATCTGTCCTACAATAAACGTGATGAGATCTGAGTTAGAGAACACTGAAACAATTCTAATTTGATTTTGGTTTTTCCAGAACAAAAGCTAGTAAGTAAATTGCATTTCCATTAGATCTACACAGACTTTTCAAATCCATCCAGGAGTCCTGACTCTTAAGGCACTGAATTATTATGGAAAAATCAATTTCCTTATGACTTTTCTTGTTGTCCCTGGGACTAAAGACAGCCACCAATTACAAGGATGAGAGGCCAAGTTTTCAGTTTTAAGAAATGATATATTAATCTAAACATATCCACGAAAGAAGTTCAAGGTGAAGTACTAGGGGTGGGAAGTCTCTCACTTTTTTTCCCTGGTGTTTTGTCCCTTCATTGTCTTGATTCAAAAAGAGCTGTTTAATTGCTTGATGATTCTTTGTGGGGGGGGAAGGAATTTTTCCCCCTAACTTTATCAGTGAGTATCACATTTCATTGTCTGTAATACATATTCTCACATGACTACAGACTCTCAGCTATAAATTTAACTTTGGGTTCTATACTTAATCCATATTTTGCCTCTGAATCACCAAAGGGTTTTGAAACAGCTGAGCCCTCTGGCTCCTGGCCCCTGATCTTTGTGACACAATGCCAGAATGCTTTCTCCACCATGACTTTTTTCTAGATTTTCTTTTCTGCATCATGTGTTGCAGTTGACTAAGGAGAGTCTGACCACTGTCCTCCCATCCTGATACTCTTGTATCCTTCTGATCCTCTCTGTGAGCCTCAGTTTCTGCCTGGTCTTAAAAGGTTTAGGACTGCATAGTCTTTGAGACTCTCAGGCCTCCCAGTTTTCCCTTCGCTTACTTTTATCTGATTCCTATACAGACATAGGAGCCAGATAGGTGGCACAATGAAGCAAATACAAGGCCCTTACTAAAGAATGGAAAAGCAAACTCTTGTTTCTTCCTACTATCTTTGTCCGAGGAAGAACAATGTGGACAAATTGAGAACAATGTGAGGCCATTTAGTAAGAGATTAATCTGGTTTAGAGAAAGTAAGGGCAGAAGCCAGGTTGTGAGAGGGTTAAGAAGACAGTGAGAGCAGAGAAAGAAGAAGCATTTGTTGTAGATTACCTTTTCAAGGAGTTTAGCTACAAAAGGCAGAAGAGATACAGGATGATAGGTAGCAGGGATGGAAGGGCCAAGTGAGGATGTTTTACAGGATTAGGAGACATGAGAATGTTTGGAAGAGCCACTGCAGAGATTGGGATGGTGAGTTAATAAGTATATATGTACATGCACATATATGTATGCATACACACATACATACATGCATATGTTATTAGGAAAGACTGGCAGAAATAGGGGAGTTAATAGATATTAAACAATAGATAGAGCACTGGGCTTGGAAGCAGGAACACTAGAGTTCAAATATGGCCTCAGACCCTTACTAGCTGTGTGCACCAGGCAACCCTGTTTGCTCCAGTTTCTTCATCTGTAAAATGAGCTAGAGAAGGAAAGGGCAAACCACTACAATATCCTTGCCAGGAAAACTCCAGATTGAATCATGAAGGGTCAAACACAACAAATCAACACAACAACAAACAACAACAACAATAATGGGGCTTCGTAATTCTTTTTTTTTCTTTACTTTGCTAAGCAATGGGGTTAAGCAACTTGGCCAGGGTCACACAGTTAGTGAATGTCAAGTGCTTGAGGCTGGATTTGAACTAGGGTCCTTGTGACTCCAGGGCCGGTGCTCTATCTACTGGGGCTTCATAATTCTTGAACAAGGTACCTGACCCAGACTCTTGCACCTTTTCTCAAGATACATGCTGTCTCTAGCAGGTGATTATATTTAATAGGGTGGCAGGCTAAGTCAAGTCTGCCCCCTGAAAGTAGAATACTGTAGTTACAGTGACAAAATCTCTTAAGTTATTCTGTAGAAGTATAATCCCATAATTTCCGGCATATAACAGTAACTTCATGAACACTCATTGACAGATGGATTGGTTGAATAATTGTTGACACCAAACTAGGAAGCATAGCTAAATGACAATTATCTCAAAGTGTTCCAAAAGTCTAAAGCCCTGGGGTGAATTTATTAAGGTAAAACTATATAGTGCTAATACAAATATTTAAATTTGGGTTTAAAAATAAGGTAAGGATAAACAAGTCCACAGGTTAAGAATGGTGTGAATGTTTTTGGTTCTGTGTGCGACATGGAAAGATGCAAAACAAGTAGATGACAAAGGAGATCAAGTGCTGGTATTGGAATTGGGAAGACGATTATTAAATGTGCCTTTTAATGTTTCATATAGATTCAAACTCAACAAACATGCTTTCTCAAGATGTGATGTCTCATATATGTCACACATCATATCATATCATATCGTATATGTCACACATATGCAATATAACTATATATGTGTGTGTGTTTGTGTGTATGCTGTTCCAACATACATTATTCCATTTCCTGTTTCCTTGACTATGTCCTCTTTGCCTCTGTTTCTTTGAATTCCTAGTTTCCTTTTTAGCAAAGACTGAACTGACCTGAAGTGGCCATCTCAGGGAATGTGCATCCAGTATTCTAGAAACTTTCCGGAACTTGAAGAATGTGGTGACTCAGCATTTGGACACAATGAAGTTCTTAATTACTTCTGATGTATCAGCACAAGAATGTAAGTACAAGGAAGAGCCAATTCTGGCTTGGTCCCTTTCATTTTGGCCCTCCCAAGTTTCAAGTGATGAATTCTGTCTCTAATCCCTATGGGATGAAGTGTGAGGATTGGCTATGCTCTTTTCCTTCGTAATTTCCCTCATATGGAGAATCAGCCCAAGTAAGCAAATTTGGTTTTATTCTCATAGTTCCCAATACATTTCCTTTCCTGAGTACCTACTCAGAACTGGAGATGACTTTGAGAGCACAAAGGGAGTTTCTTCATGAGAAATAAATGTCTAATTAAAAAAAAAGTATTAGCTTAAGCCTAACCCATTTTCTAGCAGATATATACCATGAATAAATTAGATAATATAGAAGTGAGCTGAAAGGTAACATACCTATGTTCTAATCCAGTTCAAATGTAAACTATAGTTATAAAACTAATTATGTTACTCAATTTTGTTTTAAGTTGTATCAATATTGGTATATGAGTAATTTGTTTTAGTATTTCTTTTGTGTGAAATGAACACCTGTCCTATACCTGATTTACATTGAACTTTGAATACCTTTTTACTTTATCCTTTGGGAAAGCCTTAGAAATGAGGGAATACCTTACCCTTGAGGAATTGTTACAGGGTCACTTTGCTGGGGTGCTAATGAGGCAATTATTGTGACAAAAGGGACTTTAGTTCCCCTCCATTCAAAGACAGAGACCCTAAGGACTGAAATCAGTCTGACCATGTGCATGAAGGCAGAGTAGAGGCACAACAGTAGCGGTTTCTTAATCTTTGAACTTCAAAGCTCAGCTCCAGTGTTACCTTTTACCTGAGGTCTTTCTTTCTTGGTGACTTGTCCTTACTTGTACCTCACTCAGACTTTAAGAGAGCATTTGTTTACTCTATATGTGTTTTATTTATACATGTTACATACATGTATGTGTATCTTCCTTGTTAGAATGTAAACTCTTTGAGGTTAGGGACTGTTTCATTTTTGTGTTTGTATCCTTAAAATTCTAGTGCCTGATAGATATGTTAGTTTACTGGTTGGCTGGGTTCCTTGCTATAGGCCTAAACTGGATGACTAGTTTTCTGGTGATAGTTATATAGGAAAATCTTATTTAGGTATGAATTGTATTAGATGTTCTCCTAAGTTCCTTTGAATGTTTGGGATTCTGTAAACATTTTGCCAGGAAGGCATGACATAAACATAGGTAAATAAAGATAATTAAGAAGGAAGACAGTAGTGAAAACTATAGTAAAGCTTTCAAAGAATGTGACCTTTAAGAGAGCTGAGAGAATGAGATCTTATTTGATTTTCACAACAACCCTGGGAGATAGGTGCTGTTATTATTCCTTATTTTGCAAACAGAGGTTAAGTGACTTGCTCAGGGTCTTTTTGTCTTTTTTTTTTTTTGGTGCAGCAATTGGGGTTCCAGAGTCACACAAGCTAGTGAGTGTTATATGTGTGTCTGAGGCCACATTTGAACTCAGGTCCTCCTGACTCCAGGGCCGGTGCTTTTTCCACTGTGCCACCTAGCTGCCCACATGAAATTAGTGTTCAACCACATTTGACCTCAGGTCTTCCTTCAATATTCTATTGTACCACTATTAAGTAGTTTACTAACTCCTGTTAATAAAAACAGTATCAGAAAGAATGCTTAAATTGAAAGAATTTTGTAGGTTCTTAGATTTTTTTTCAAATATCAGAGGGAAGATAAACTAGAAAATACTCTCAGTTTGTAAGGAGGTTTTATTTTTTTAAACCACCAAACCTCTAAGCCACAGCAAATATAAAGTTCTCAGAAATAAAATGACTAATATTGACTTAACTAAAAGACAAATCAGGACGGATTGACCATATTGTAGTAAAAGAAAGTCTATGTAAGAAATTTATACTTATAATAATGCTAACAATATTGACTCCCTTTCTACATTATTGACATAGTGAATTAAAGTATTGTCTTACCAGCTACCAGAATGTTGAAAATATACAAATAGTCAAAGATTACTTTGGTGATTGCTCTGAATAATACCACAACAGATATCTCTGCCCACACTTTGACCTGGACACTGAGACAGAAGTAGCTTTGGGGAAACACACAGGATGTTCTCTTTTAGAACTCAGAATATGTAACATTCTGCTTTGTAATGGCTACAATTGTTGTGGTTACCCAGGAAATATAACCTTAATAACAAACTAGATATTGAATAACTTATATAAGTGAAAGAAAATTACCCAAACCTAAACTTACCTATTTATCCAGTTATCAAATAAAACAAACTATTAAGCTGCACCTGTAAATAAGGCTTAATGATGGCTTCTCAGTTTGTCATTTTTGAAACAGAAACTACAAGTTTAGCTGTGATTTGACAGTAGGAAAACTAGTGCTGGTACTTGGTTTTGATTCCTTCCTACCTTATTTGGGAGTCTTCCTGCAACTTGAAATTTTAATTTCCTTCTCCATTTAGTTCTTTAATCCCACGACTGGCAAACATAGAGCCTTTTCAATCCAGCTATTACTTCTCTGTTCTAGATAAAGTAGTTGAGTGTAAGGTTATGATTTCTTACCTGCCTTGATTGGCCTCCATTAAGGCTTAGGGGATCTTGAAGGAGTTATATTCCTACTCTCACCTGCCCCTGAGAGAGGTGTCTTAGAGAGGGCTGTAGGAGTTGGTGCAGCCATAATCAGCAAAGTCTTTCAAGAAGATTGCAAAAGAATAAAAGCATGAAACCAAAACATAAGTATGTTCTAACAATGAGGCATGGAGGCAAGCAAGGATAATATCAAGAAAGTTAAAGAAGAAGAAGGAGGAGAAGGGGGAGAAGCTGGAGGAGCAGGAGCTCCTGCTTTTGCTCCTCCCATTGCTTGTCCTCCTGCTCCTGATTCTATTCCTCCTTCTCCTGCTCCTCTTACCCCTCCTGCTCCACCTGCTTCTCCTGCTGCTCCTGCTGCTTCTCCTGCTTCTGCTGCTGCTCCTGCATCTCCTCCTGGTCCAGCTTCTCCTCCTGCTTCTGCTGCTCCCCCTCCTCCTCCTGCTCCTACCGCCCCTCTTTCTCCTCCTGCTCCTCCTCCTCCTCCTGCTGCTGCTTCTCCTCCTCTTGCTCTTCCTTCTCCTGCTTCTCCTCCTGCTTCTCCTCCTTTTCCTGCTTCTCCTCCTGGTCCAGCTTCTCTTCCTTCTCTTCCTGCTCCTCCTTCTCCTCCTGCTTCTCCTCTTGCTCTTGAATCTCTTCCTGTTCCTGCTTCTCCTCCTGCTCCTGCTTCTTCTCCTGCTCTTCCTCCTCCTCCTGGTCTTCCTTCTTCTGCTGCTTCTCCTCCTGCTCCTCCTCCTCCTCTTGCTCCTCCTTCTCCTCCTGCTTCTCCTGCTTCTCCTCCTTTTTCTCCTGCTTCTCCTTCTGGTCCAGCTTCTCTTCCTTCTTCTCCTGCTCCTCCTTCTCCTCCTGCTTCTCCTCTTGCTCCTGCATCTCTTCCTGTTCCTGCTTCTCCTGCTGCTCCTCCTTCTCCTCCTCTTGCTCTTCCTTCTTCTCCTTCTTCTCCTCCTGCTTCTCCTCCTTCTCCTCCTTTTGCTCCTGCTTGTCCTCCTGCTCCTGATTCTATTCCTCCTTCTCCTGCTCCTCTTACCCCTCCTGCTCCACCTGCTTCTCCTGCTGCTCCTCCTGCTTCTGCTGCTGCTCCTGCATCTCCTCCTGGTCCAGCTTCTCCTCCTGCTTCTGCTGCTCCCCCTCCTCCTCCTGCTCCTACCGCCCCTCTTTCTCCTCCTGCGCCTCCTTCTCCTCCTTTTGCTCCTGCTTCTCCTCCTTTTGCTCCTGCTTCTCCTCCTGGTCCAGCTTCTCTTCCTTCTCCTCCTGTTCCTCCTTCTCCTCCTGCTCCTGCTTCTCCTCCTGCTCCTGCTTCTCTTCCTCCTCCTTATGAGTGCTAATTATTGTGAGGATGCCGAGGTCCCTTTTAATTTTCAAATTCCATGACACTACTTCTTCCTGGTCTACTGTCTAGAAAGAGTCTACCATCCAACAAGACAATGAGGCCATTCTCTTCCGAGTGAGCCCCTGATGATGCCAGCATCACGGCTTCTCTTTCTGAACGCTCATAAACCGTCCCTCTCCACACTGCCTCACTCCCAGGGCCAAGCTCCCCTGCGATGGTCATGGTTCTGAAAGAGCCTGGTCCCTGCTTCTTTTCCCTGACCCTCCTTTCTACACCATGTCTTTGGTCCTTCTCTTGCTTGGCCCTCCATGGCAGACCAATGATTTCCCATCTGGTCCCCCCATCAGAGGGAGGACTTTCTGCTCTGTAGAAAAAGCACGGGATCTGAACTCAGAGAACCTTGATCTGCACCCTAGGTCTGACACTCACTACCTATGAGACCTTGGGAAAGTCATGGGTCTCTAACACTCCAATATGTGGAGCAGCAGAGAGAGCCCCAGGCAAGTTCAAATATGGCCACTTGCTAGCTGGGTGACCCTGGGTAAGTCACTTCACCTGGGCCAGCCTCAAGATGATCAGAGCACCTACTCCCTCGGCTGCTATGACAGTTTTTAAAAATATTGAACATTTATTTATTTTTAGTTTTCAACATTCACTTCCACAAGATTTTGAGCTCCAAATTTTCGCCCCATCTTATCCCTCTCCCCCCCTAAGATGGTATGCATTCTAAATACACCTACCCCCCTTCTCTTATCCCCTTCCCTTTCGATCTTCCTGTAGGGCAGGATAAAGGTCTATATTTCATTGCCTGTGTATCTTATTTCCCAGTTGCATGTGAAAACAATTTTTAACATGTGTTTTTAAAACTTTGGATTCCAAATTCTCTCCCTCCCTCCCCACCCACCTTCATTGATAAAACAAGCAACTCAATACAGGTCCTGTGTTGTGAGGATTAAAGCAGATCCTATCTGTAAAGCGCTTAGCTGGCGCCCACCTTGGCTACTCATGGCTGCAGAGCTGGTAGGGGCCTGAGAAGCCGTCACTTTACAGAGGAGGAAACCGAGGTCATAGTGGTCATCGGGGCCAACCCCGTCATTTTACAGACCAGGGAACTGGCCCAAAGGAAGGTCTCCTGAGGTGCTGAGTCATCTCCTTGGACTCGGTGGTCTCCGCTGCCCGTTCAGACATATCCCCGGCCTGGGCACTCCCCAGCCAGGTCAATGCGTCAGTGCTCAGTAAGCGCCTCCTTCTGTCGGCCAGCCCCCGTAGAGGAGTCAGACAGACAGGAGGGGGAGGATGGGGGGGGTTCCTGCCCTCCAGGAGTTTTCATTCTAAAGCAGGGAGTCCCCTTCCCTCTCCCTGCTCAATCCCTCCCCTCCCGCTCCCAGCCCTTTGGTGGTCCTCCTCTACCCGGCGGTGTTCAATCCCCCGAGGGCTCCACTCTGCCCTTCCCCCCCTCCTCCTTCCCCGCCTCCCGGCTCCTCCTCCTAGGTCTTCCTCCCCTCCCCCTTCCTTCGCTCCCTCCTCCTCCCCCCTCCCCTCCGGAGGCCGGCGGGGGTGGGCGGGACCCAGGCGCAGGCGTCACAGCCTCTGGCGGCCGCCCTGCGGTGCCCCTCCCCCTCGCTCCCGGAAGGAGGCGGAGGAGGCTCTACGGGAGCAGCGAGGGCCCCGAGGACTCGACCGACAGCGAGCCCGAGCCCGAGCACGAGCCCGAGCCGGGCTCCCCGCAGAAGCTGCTGCGCAAGGTGTCCACGTCCGGCCAGATCTGGCACAAGGTGAGGGCCTATCTGGGCGGGGGGCTGCGGCCCGACCCCTCCCTCCACACTGCAGCCTCCCCCGTGCGCCCACTCCTCCTCCCTGCACTGTCCCCCTCCCCCACTGCACTCTCTCCCCCTTCTTCGGCACTGTCCCCGTCCCCCTCTACACCATCTCTCACGCTCCTTCTGCAATGTGTCCCCCCTTGCACCCGCCCCTCCCCCTCTGCACCATTCCGCCACATCTTCCCCTTCTCCTTTTCTCATCCCCCCCTCCATCCTAGTACCATCTCCCCTCCCACTCTCTTCCCATTCCCTCTTCTCACCCGTCTGTGAATCAGCGACCCTGGATTAAGTGCCTAGGACGTGTGCCAGACGCTGCACCAGGCCTGGGATCCCTTTACCAAGGGGGAAGGCGTGTGTGCCATGGTGGGGGTGGTTACATTCTGTTCGGAGATAGTCCCAGAATAGATGCAGGAGGCAGGCGACCCGGGCGAGCAGCGTGGGGCACAAAGACAAGCCCCCCACACCCTGTCCCCGGCGCGTTGCACCGTCTCCATTCCGCTGGGAAGCCTCACACAGACCCCTCTCCCTCTGCCTGTCCTTCCCCTCGCCCTCTCTTCCTGGCCCTTTCTGCTCCCTAAGCAGAGGTTTTGTACCCGGCCCCAGCAAGCCCAAAAGAGGAACCCCCAAAAGCCGGTAATGTCCGAGCCTCAGCTCCCCGGGCCTTCTCAGAGAAGCCGTGTGCTGCCCAGCCCCATTCTCCGCGGAGGGGCGTGTGGATCTTGTAGAATCCTAGAATATCAGCGGTTGGGGGCCCCAGAGAGACCACCGAGTTCAGCCCCTACATTTCCGAGCAGCCCAGGAAGCCCCAGAGCAGAGACTGCGGGGTGATGGAACGTTATCCCTCCCCAGCTGCTCTCTCTCTGATGCCCCTGGGTCGGGATTGTGCTAGGAAGGGGTCCGGGAGTATCTCCTCCCTGCTGTTGAGCGCTGCTGGTGAGCATTCCACGGTGCTTGGCAAGTTCACCTTGGGGCTAGGAGCCATCCTTCCAGCGCCGTTTAGGAGGCATGGGAATTCGAGGGCATTGGGCCACCTCCAAAGCAATTGTCAGCTCTGGGGTTGCTCCCCAGCCATGGGTGTTACTTTCCAAGTGAGCAGAAGAAGATTGTGCCCTTTGGTCCCTTTGGACCAGACTCGACCAAAAACACCAGTTCCCACAGGAAGAGCTCTCGGCCCCATGATGACCCGGAACCCAGAATGATGTAGCCTTCTGTCCATGCTGCAGGGGTGTTGGCCGAGGCAGAGATGAGGTCCCGTGCCCTCCTGTGGTCAAGGATAGTCTCACGGTGAGAAGAGAGGGAAGCTTCCCTTTCTTGGCCATGGAACGCTCCTCCTGTTCTCTGTCAGTGGCTGACGATCATGATGCTTCCTTGGGAGCACCGGTGATTTTTTGATTCCACCCCATCTTTTTTATTCTGAAAACAACCTGTGGTTTAGGCTTATACTGCAGGTTGGTTCTTTCCCTCCCTGGACAACCATTTTCCCCAGGAAGGGTTTCTGGAGGCCCTGCGGGATCAGAGAGAGAGGGAAGGGCAGGGGGAAAGGAGACCCTGTGGGATGAGGGGCTGCCTGTCCTCCACAAGCAGAGGCCATTCAACATAAGTCAGCCACTGGGGCTAGATGAGCAAAAAAATGTAAAGGACAAGAAATTACTAGCAGAAATGAAATTCTTCATGGTCCTTAGTCTGCAGACCTCGACCTAAATAATTGCATGTTGGTTGACTGATTGACTGACTAGACCAAACTCTCCAAAAAGACTTGAATGTTACATGACGCACTGGGAGGTGCAGTGGGCAGAGCACCCAGTCTGGAGCTAGGAATATGTGGTTTCACATCGCGCCTCAGTGTCCTCATCTGTAAAATGGGGATCATAATAGCCCCTGCCTCCCAGGGTTATTGGGACGATTCAGGGAGATAAGTACCTAATAAAAGCCAGCTCTTGTTAACCATTGGCTCTCCTGCCTTGCTCTGTCCTGTTTCCCCACATCTGGTACACTTCCTTGTTTGCAATGTTTTTAAAGCAGGATTAGGGCTTTTTAGAGAGAACCTAGCCCCCCTCCCCTGCCCCCGGTTATTACATGAGAGAGTGGCTTGTATTAAGGCAGTATGCCACCCACTGCATGCTAAGTGCTAGAGTTCCAACCCTGCTTTCAGGGAGCTCACATACCAACGGGGAGGTCAGTTGTCGGCCAAGTGGAAAGACAGGAAGTCCTAAAATCAGGGTGTTGGTGGCGGTCAGGGAGCTGCCGCCAGCTGGGCCCAGCCGTCTGCAGAGAATCCTGCTGCTGGTCTGGGTAGATGGAGAATCCTCCTTTCTAGGTGTCTCTCTGGACAACGGCACCTTCAGCTGCTCAGACTTGGCAGAGCAGCCTTGCAGGGTGGGGCTAACAACCCCCTGAGGATGTGTCTTTGAGATCACCACACCTGCCAGAAGCCTGCCCTTGTAGGCTATCAGCTCTATTGGCTTGTTAGGGACTGTCGGATTGTGGGAAGGAGGAGGCTGCTTGCTGTGCTGGGTCCTCCCTTGTCAGCCCTTCTGGTCTGTCAGGGCCCTGATTAGAGAAATGGTCAGATTGGAGGGGGGAACCTATTTCTGATAAATCAGTCATCGGCAGCTCCCTTGCCTGGCTTGTTCTGTGTGACAGCCCGTAAAAGACCCTGAAGAGACTGAGTTGTTCAGATAAAAATAATCTCTGTAAATCTGCAGAGTTTGGAGAGTGGAACACAGTTGTTTGGGCTGAGTGAAAATGCCCACGACTTCATAGAAATTCAGGATTTTAGTAGCACTTTTTTAACTGTTCTTGGTACCAGTTCTTAGAACTGGTGGGTTCTTCAAACCCAGTCTCTTACTGTGTGCCTCTGTATAGCCACAGAGGTCCCTCCGCACACTCCCTTTGTGAGCTCCTGTGAGACCAAAAAACAACAGGCCTCGGTAGGCAGGGTGTCCTATGAGAAAGACAGGCTGCCTCAAAGCCAGGTAGACCTGGATTCAAGTCTGGCTTCTCCCTTCCTCCTGGCTCAGTGACTGTGGGTGATCCAGGCTCTAGGTAAGTGATATTAAGCTGAAAAATTCTGCTATCTGCAGGTTGACTTAGAAAACCACGAATTAACATTATCTATGTTGCATTGCATTTTTGTTTATTTTTAGTAAACCTTTCTCAGTTATATTCTAATGTGATTGGAATTTCCAGGTTTGGTACCTCTGTAGGCAGTCCTCTCAAACTGGAGGGTGGCAGAGAAGGGCAGAGAGGTTGAAGACTCAGGAAGCTCCAGGTCTGGTCTCTATCCTGGTCCTGGTACTGTTACAAGAGAAGGGTGAGGTTCACTACAGGTTCATTTCCATTCCTCGAGTTCCCATGTTTTGGTGCATTCTTTTTTTTTTTTTATTATTTAAAAAAATTTTGTTTTTTATTTATCAATAATCATTTCCACATGCTTTTGAGTTTAAAATTTTTCTCCCCCTTCCTCCCCACCACCTTCCCCGAGATGGCACACAAGAAAGAGAAAATGAAAAACAGCATGTGTGCTTCCGTGTATATTCAGACAGTGTCATTTCTTCCCCAGAGGTGAGGCAAATGGGATGTTGCATCATGAGCCATTTGGTACTGCTGAAAAGACCTAGCTCTTTCACAGGTCTGCGTCACACCGTGTGGCTGTTACTGTGTGCAGTTCTCTTGGTGCCACTCACTTTCCTTTGCATCCGTTCATGTAACTGTCTTTCCAGGCTCTCCTGAGAGCATCCTGCTCCTCATTTCTTACAACACAATAGTATTCCATCCCAATACAATACAATAGTTTTCCATCCCAATCACATACCATAGCTTGTTCAGGCATTTCCCAGTGGATGGGCATCCCCCTGACTTCCAAGTCTTTGCCAACACCAAAGGAACTGCTATCAGTATTTTTGCACAGCTCGGTCCTTTTCTTTGATCTCTTTGGGGTCCAGGTCTAGTCGTGGACCCAAGGGCATGCACAATTTGAGAGTCCTTTGGGCACAGTTGTGGGGGGCTACTTACAAACAGCAAAGACACTTGGAGATTCTCTTACAAGGACATTTTTTTTTCAGATCAGCTTCATGGGTTGCCTGTCCCATCAGCCCTGGCTCCAGCTGAACTTGTGGTCCGCTAAAAGCCCCAAATCCTTTTCAGAACAGCTACCTCCCCCAGCCACCCTTCTTCATGTTATACTTGTGAAGTTAGTGTTTTGTGGCCTTGTGAAAGACTTCTGCATTTTTCCCTTTTGGGTTTTGTCTTCTCTTAACTCAGCCCAGTGCGGGAGCCTGTCTGGAGCCTCCTGGGTCTTGACTGTCATTGAGTGCGGTAGTTTCCTCCAGTTGTATCTGGGTCACCTGCTGTTTGTTTTTGTTTTTTGTTTTGTTTTTTGCTTTTTGGTGAGGCAGTTGGGGTTAAGTGACTTGCCCAGAGTCACACAGCTAGTAAGTGTTATGTGTCTGAGGCCGGATTTGAACTCAGGTCCTCCTGAATCCAGGGCTGGTGCTCTATCCATAGTGCCACCTCGCTGCCTCGGTCACCTGCCATTTGGATGAACATCCCATCCATGATGGCTTTCTCTACGTCATTGATGAAGATGTTCCCAGCCCAGTGCTGGGGTACCTCACTGGACACCTGTGACACTGAATATCGACCTCTGCTCTTGGAGTCCGGCCTTCCTCCCAGCCCTGTCTCCTTCTGATTGTAGTGTTCTCCAATCCACATTATTCGGTCTTGTCTAAAACAAGAGCAGGAGAGATTGCGGAAAGGCTTTGCTGGACCAGTCTCCTCCTCCAGAAAATGACAAGCCTTTACAGGTCGAGTCTGGTTCCCTGATCTTGGTACACTCTCCCGGCTGCATCCCCCCCCCATCCTGTCCAAAAAGGACAGGAGGTGGGTTTATCATTGTCCTTGGACCCTCCAGGGCTGGCTGTTTGGAATCACCGGTTCCCTCTTGAGAGCAGTGCTGGGAGCAGACACATTCTCATTCCCACAGGTGACCTTTGCCTGCTTCCTATCTTCTCATCCTCTGGTCAGCCCTGGGTAGTGGGCAGGCTTTGGTACGGTTTTGACCCTGTTGTGTCTGGGGAGGTGGAGGCACAGACAGAGGAAGAACCTTGGCCATAGTCTGGAGACCCCGGGGGTGTTCAAGGTGGGGACTAGTTGTGTCTGAGGTGTGTGCCTTCCAGAGACCTGTAAATCCCTGCAAGCTGAGGCTAGGCCCTAAGAGGTATTAGGGTATTGTGAGGGGCTTTGCATACAATAGGTGCTTAATAAATGTTTTCAATAAATTCAGTAAATTGAATTGAATCCACGTCCTTATCTGTAGACTCTCACCAAGGTAATGGGATGAGGTCTTTGGGCTGAAGTTGAATCCTTGCAAAAACCTTTTTTGTTTCCTTAAGCATTTAAGAAATTTCCATTTCTCTGGAATTTGAAAAGCATCTGGTTTGTCAGCCTTCCTGCAGTGAGGGAATCGCTAATTAAGTTTGGGGAAAGTGGACTTTGAACATTCAGTTAAGGGCCACTGGGCTGGTTCAGTGCCTGGTTCTCACTCAAAATGATTGAGGCTCTTGATTTTCAGGGCCAACTCTGGACTTCTGGGCTCTTTTGACAAGAAGAAGGGAATTCTTGGCAGTGGCACTAGGATAGCTAAAGGTGCTCACCCTCCCCTCTGACTCTGACCCCTTGGGTCAGGCGGTCAGTTTTGGGCACAGCTTCTACATGATGCCGGAATGACTCCAGATCTTAAGGAGAGTGGTTTTGGTGGAGCTCACTGGAAGAAGATCGGTTCTCCATGTCTCTTTCTTCTTTTCCCCGTATCTAGGTTGCTTTGAGAGTAAGTGGGTGGGAGATCTGTAGTAGCCCCTCATCTCTGGCCTCAGGTTCTTGCTGGAAGTAAGAGGGGAGAAATGAGGATTTCCAAGCAGATTATGTCTCTGCCGAAACAGATGGTGTTGTCAGTCTGTCGCAGAGATGGAGAAACCAAGGGTGGGGTTGGGATCTGAACTGGGAAGCTCCCAAACCATGCTCTATTGGTGAGATAGACTGGACGTGTTGTGTTATGAGACTGGTTGATCAGGGGAATACCGTGGGTAGAGTGGACCTAGATTTTGGCAAAGTGTTTGACAAAGGCTCTCTGCTGTGCTTTTAGGAAGGAAAGAGGCGTGGGCGGGGTGATCATTCAGTGGGGTAATTTGGGAAAGGATAGACTCCCCGACCCGAAGAAGAGCAGTCATTAATGAACTGGACAGTGTCAGCTTAGAAGGAGGTGGTGGGGCAGTCTGTCAGGCTCTACTTGGCCCCGGCTCAGATAAAGGCTTTAATGACAAGAGCAGCCGATTTGCCAATGACATGAAGCTGGGAGGGATAGCCAGCACCCAGGAGGACAAATTAAGGATCTAGAGAGCTCTTGACGGCCTAGATCATTGGGCCCAATCAAGTCTGATGAAATGTAATGGGGACAGATGGATTAAAGCCCTGGCTGTCTGGGAGGAGTACTGGCTACAGAGTGTTTGTTAGAGAGTGGGGGTGGTGGTTTGGACAGGACCTCAGTGGCAGCAGTAAGTGCACAGGAGGCTCCAGCCCACTGCTGTCGACCTGCTAAGCTCAGAGACCTCGAGTTTTTGGTTTTTGACACCTCGCCCTCCATTGGTGTTATGTTTGGCGAAGACAGCCTTTGGCTAAGAGCCGGCTCTAGTGGGGAGCCACAGAACCGTTGGTAGGTCACTCCACTGACCTGCTGTTCGGTCCCTTTTCTTCTCTGTCTAAATGTCAGAATCACCTGTTTCATCTATCTCAAAGGCTTATTGTAAGGACAGAGACAGAGGAGGGAGGCTAAAGCTTGGACTTTGGGTATTACTGGTCAGGGGAACTCCCCAGGGAGGAAACTCCCTCCACTGATGCAGGTTGGCACATTCTGGCACCTGCTAAAATCTGCAGATGGCTTCAGGCCTTTGAGCACAGAGAATTTGATTAACTTGCCCAGAGTCACACAACCAGGATGTTTCTGTGGCAGAATTGGAACCCAGGTCTTCCTGGCCTCCTCTGTCCCCTGTGCCCGGCTGCTGCTCAAAGAAAAGGTTTAAAGTGATGTACAAATCCTTATTAGCCTTTTTCCATTGAAGGCCATTTAGCACCCCATTGGGTAAATGTCTTTTATTGTCCTCATAAAATGATTTTAGACTCTGATCCTGCTATAGTTTATAAATTCAGGTGATAGGATTGCTCAATGTCCCAAGGTTGGCCTAGTCTGACTGATTTACTGCTTTTTTAGACTCATAAATGTGGGAAACCTTTCCCTCTGTTACCAGGAGACAAGCCTACCCTCAGAGCTGTGCCCAGGATTCTGGTCTTCCAAAATGATGAAGGGAGCTCCCCAGACTGACCTGGGAGGAAGAGGAAGGAAGAGTCTGTCTTTGCATGCAGGGACTCCTAGCTGCAGGATTGGAGGGTAAGCTTCCTGGAGGCAGGGAGGGGGAGGAGGCACCTCGTGGCCTGGGGCAAATCACTGCCTCCCCATCCCTTCTCTGCCCAGCAGGAGCTGCCTTCCCTGTTGTCCTGTGTGGCACTGTCTGTGTTGGATTGAGCCAGACTGGTGTATGTGTCCCCAGGGGCATTCTGAGTACAGTGAGAACATCCCTGTAAAGCCCAGGCACGGTGCCTGGCACATAGTAGGTGCTGTAGAATTGCTCACTGTGATTGTTCCTCCTCCTCCCCACCCCTTCCCCAAATCCTTTGGTCACACTGTCCTTCAGAGGGCTTTGCATTTGTCTACTGAAGGGGGAGATGTTGCCCCCTTTCCCTGCTGCCCTTTGGTGAATGGATGTCATACCCAAGTATTGTGTGGGGGTTCGGGGGTCTCTTCCCTGGGAGAAGCTTCTTACAGAGCTCGCCCCACCTCCAGAATGTGAAGACAGCATCCCCAGCTCTCCCAGCTGCCGCCCAATCTCACTGAAGTACTTTGCACAATATGCCCTGGGTAAATACAGCCCTGGGCAAATGTACACAGTGTCTTTAAAAACAATCCTTTTCCTGCTGAGAATTCCAGGAATTTAAACCAGCCTTTTGTCACTGTTCACCTTTGCACACACCTGGGGTGGAGGAGGAGAGGAAGGAGCTTCCTTGTTGTCCTGGAATCTGGAGGCTGCTGAAGGAACATGCTTCGCTATCCCTCCATCCTAGACTCCACCTGTGCTGGCTGAGCCCCCTCCGCTCTAGAAGCAGTGAGTGGCGGTCTTTTGCTTCGATAACCATAGTACCCTGTTAGCAGATACAGCTTGGTGGGGGTCGCCAGGGGCTCTCCAAGCTGGGATGTTGGCTGGAGTGGAGGCCGGTCTTTGCAGGCCAGCTTCACCTCGGCTCTGCCTCTCCACACTTCAGGCAGGGCTGGGCCAGGATTCTCAGGGAGCTGGAAGGGGCCAACAGAATCGAGGATTCCCTTGGCAAGGTCAGTTTTACGAGAGTCTCATCCCATATTTGCCTTGCCTGCCTTCTTCACAGGGCGGGGAATGGGAAGAGAGGGCGAAGGTCACGGTTCTTTCCTGTAATTCTGATAGGGTCAAGCTCATTCCCCACACAGCCATGAGGGAGCCCTGCTGGAGGCCACAGTGGCTATGGGGTTCCCTTGGCCGCTTCTTTTTCCCTTCCACGACTCTTTCACCTTCAGATGGTACAGTTTTGGAAGGTGGCGTACGAATGCCCATAGAGTGCTCCCATTTCGCAGATGGAACCACTGAGGCTTCCCATCGGGGAGGGCCATGTGGGCCTGCAGCTGTGGCCCGGGGAGCCGGATCTGGGTGTGCCCAGAAATGACCACCTGTGCTTCTCTGCATCTGTTGCCTTGGGCCGGGCACCGCGGGCTTCTGGCTTTCCACTTGGAAAGGTGGTCAGGGGACCCACAGACACTCGGTCTGCTCTTCTCGCCGGCTGCCAGGGGACAGGGCTAGCACGGCTGGGAATGGAGCATCCCAACTGGTACAAGAAGGAATGCGACCCCAGGAGGGGCCGTGGTCATTTTCCCAACACTCTTAGCCTGATGCTCTGAGCCAGTGGGCTGGGGACCATGGGAATCCTCAGAGTCATGTTTCCTGAGAGGAGCTGTGTGCCAGGGAGTTTGTTTGCCTTCCTAACCCGCCTTGTAAACTTGGGCCCGGGCATCAGGAGCGCCACTTGGGGAGCACACACCTTTCAGATGGAAAATTCTAGTTAGTCCTGAGCCAAGTGAGCGAGATCTCAACTGTTCTTTATGCCTTCAGTAAAAGAAAGCCCCCATACTGCAATAAGTCATTGTCTTTGGGATGGGGGCGACCCCGGCCTTGTGGAAGGTGGCGAGTTGGCCCTTTCCTGTGATGCCTCTGTGGCAGCACCTCTTTCCACGTTTGGGAACCTCCGTGATAATAAGGGCTGCAGGAATGATGCCCCAGTAGGCGTTAGACCTCACAGTGCTACACATAGCCAAGGACGTGGGCCTGACCTGTGGAAGTGCTGCCTGCTGGGGAGGGCAGAGATGCTCCTGCTCTCCAGAAGACTTGAGCTTCCTCCAGGGTCCTGGGGACAGGAGAGGGAAGCCCCCCAGGTGGGGTGGGGGCCCCTCTGGTGGGCTGGGTGTTGCCCCAGCCTCAGAGCCTACTCTTGGCCCACTTTTCTGGTTCTGCTGTGAAAGCATCCCCCTTTAATGGAGAAGGAAACTCAGAGGCAGAGCGTGGAAAGAATGTATTCTTGGGCTTGTTCCGGGGTGGGGTGGGGTGGGGCAAGTCTTAGGGGCCTGATGGTGGTTTCTGAGGCTTCTTGGGATCCAGGATCAAGAGCTGCGAGGATCAGCTCAACACCTTAGGAAGGGGTCATTGAGAAGTTGCTAAGCCAGGAGGTGAGCCCAGCTTCTGGGAGTGACTCCAGCGCCAGGGATCGCCATCAGGACTTCTGGGGTTCATTGCTTTGATAGAGGGCTTTGCTCAATGAATAGTTACTCGCCGAACCCATCACATTAGCCTGTTGCTGAGTATACACACCTGGGGCTGTTCACTTCACAAAATCTGGGGTTGCTACAGAAAGGGACAAATGTTGCTTTTAAATTACAAAGAATAGAAGACAGCACATTGATTTTCAAAAGGCATCTTCAGGGTTTTCCCATTTTCCAAAAATTATCTGTAGTAAAGAGAGTGGCGGGCTGCTTCATCCCCATCTGTTTTTAAAAGCATGAATACACACACTTAATTGTTTTCTTTACCATCTGGGGCCCTGGGAGGCAGTTTTCAGGCCTCGTCGGAGTGATGAGTGATTGGGGCATGTTGCTTCTCTTTCACACACATGCACACACACACCCAGTGCCTCAGTTTTCCTCTTTTGTTCATCTGGGTCAATGAGTTCTCCTTCCTACGCAATTAGGATGTTCTGAAGGTAAAAGATTGAAGGTCAGGAAAGTGAGGCCTTCATGGAAGTGCTTCATGGTGGGTTTTCCGATATCTGCACTGCATCTGAAGCTAAGGGGTGCGTTTTGCATTGTAATCTTAAGAGTTGCACTCTGACACAGCTCTTTGTTCTCCTCCTGCTCCTCCTGCTTCTGCTTCTCCTCCTGCTCCCCCCGCTCCTGGAATGGAAGCACACATAATGATGAATATTGTAAGGAAAAGGTCCAAATTGTCAGAATCTTCTCAATCATCCCCTGTCAGGATCAGGAGATGTGGACAAGGAAGAAATTAGATGCCAAACTTCCAAAACCTTGGAAGGAGGGCTGAATGGACTCCTTTAACCATTAGCAGCTCACTGCATCCAACCTAGAAAACTTAACAGATTGTGTATACTGAATTCTTGTTCTAAAGCTTCTCTTTCCTGAGAATTACATGCCATTCATACAAGCCTTTCTCATATTGATAAATGGTAAAAGAATATGAAGAAGCAGTTTTCTGTTAAAGGGATCACAGGCATATGAAGAAGTTTTCTACACAACTTCTGATTAGAAAAATGCAACTCTGAGGGAACACCTTATAGTAATCAGGTTGGCTTAGATGATAAAAAAGTAAAAACGATAAATGTCCGAGAGGATATGGGAAAATTGAGACACTGATGCAGTGTTAGTGGAGTTGCAAACTGGTCTGACTATTCTGGAAATCAATTCAAAACTATGCCAAAGGGTAACCAAACTGTGCCTACTCTTTGACCCAGCAATATCACTCTTAGTTCTATATACAAAAGAGATCATAAAAAGGGGGAAAGAAGTTGGATGTGCAAAAGTATTCATAGCAGCCCATTTCATGGCAAAATAGTGGAAATTGGCAGAATGCCATCTATTGGGGGAATGGCTAAACAAGCGGTGGGATATGAATGTAATGGAATGCTTTGTGCAATAAGAAGTGATGAACAGGCAGATTTCAGAAATCCTGATAGAAAGGAAAATCCTGTATGAAGTGATACAAAGTAAAATGAGAAGAATTAGGAAAACATTATAGACTGTATCAGCACCATTGTATGATGATCAGTTATGAATAACTCAGCTCTTCTCAGCAACAGAATGATTCAAGACAGGGACAAAGGGCTCAAAAAGGAAAATGCTATCCATATCCAGATAAAGAACTTACAGACTCTTGAGTGAAGATAGAAGCATAGTTTTTTCCCCACTTCATTCTTCTTTCTCGTGTTTTCATTTATCTGTTTCTTCTTTCACAACTGTGACTAATACAGGAATATTTTTTACATGATATCACAGGTGAAAATGAAATTAAACTCTACCATTTTCAGAAGAGGGGTTGTGAAGAAAGGAGAAAAAAACTGGAACTTGCAATCTCATTGAAAATGAATGCTAAAAATTTTCTTGACATGTAACTGCAGGGGGTGGAAATAAAATACTATTAAAAAATAAATAAAGTTAATTAAAAAACTGATGATTTGGCCTAGAAAATTACTTTTTATAATCTCTGTCAGAAATTCACTGCTGAAGTATTCTAACGCACAAAATCCCTTGGACTTTGAGGTCCTAAAAGTAGGATTTCTTTTTTGTCAAGTTTATCTTGTGGAAGTGACTGGATAACAAAATGTCATATTCTGAGTGGACAGCTAAAGAGGTGGGTCCTTTAAGGGCAAAAAGTTTTTTCAGGTGAAGAGCATCTGCCTCAGGAAACATACCAACCCTTCCTGACAAAGTCCTGCTGTATACTCCCAGACCTCCCATCATTTAAATAACCAGATAGTCCTGCCATGGTAATAGTAAAGAAGGAAAAGGGCAATAAGACATAAATCTAAAAGAAAAGTAGTCTGTCAAGGAATAAGAAAGCGAAAAGCCATAAGCCTTTTTTTCCTCTTTCAGAGTAAGTCTCAGAGTCTCACAATCTAGACCATGTGATGGGGGATGCCACCTCTTTGAAGTTCATTGTTGGCTTCCACTTGCAAGGTTTGGATGATGACCCAGAGAAACCTCAAGGACATAAGAGCCACAGCACAGATTGTGATATCTGCAGTGGAGTCACAGTGTCCTTTTCCTATTGTCCTGTGGTGATAATGAACAGGAGCCACTCCCAGAATATCAGTGCCTTTTTAAACACACTTCAGAGAGAATAAGTAATTCTTCCATCTCCATAAAGGTTATCAACTGTGCACTGGTTAATGGGTTATCTGCCTCTTGCATACAAACAACTTCAGGATCTAAGAAAGGCCATAATAGAAGAATTAGGTCATGGATCTCCATGTACCAACACCACCCAAGTATTCCCTGGCCTTCCTACCAATGTGACCCTCTCCTTGAGACCTACAAAATATTTCCACATATTTCCATCTTGGAAGAGCCAAATGTGGCTCGACTCTTCTATAGTGGCTAGACTCTTCTTCACCACATCTACTCAGTGAGAAATACCACCAGTCAATGAAGAACCTCTTTTCTGTTAAATACATACCCACCATAGCAAAATTTCAACTCTTTTTATTAGAAACAAGAGGCCCCCCTATAACGATATCACTTCCCCTTTTCTGGAAGGAGTTTCCTTAAATATGTCAAAGAAAATCTGCCAATTGAAGTTGGGGAGAGGCCCAGAGCTACTTATGCAATGAATGTGGAACTCTTTGGGGACATATTTTTCATTTAGATCAATATTTTTTTATTAATTTATTTTGATTTATCAACAATCACTTCCATAAGCTTTTGAGTTTTAAATTTTTCTCCCTCTCCCTCCCTACCTCCCTCCTCAAGACAGTGCAGAATCTGAAATAGGCTATACACGTACATTCCTATTAAACATATTTTCACATTGGTGATGTTGTAAGTAAGAATTAGGACCGATAGGAGGAACCACCAGAAAGAGGAAACAAAATACCACAAAAGAAAAAAATAGCAAATAGTATGCCTCAATATGCATTCAAACTCCATAGTTCTTTCTTTGGATGTGGATAACATTTTCCATCATTAGGCCTTTGGAGATATCTTAGATCCTTGTATTGCTGGGAAAGGTTAAGTCTATCGATATTAGTCATCACACAAGGTGGTTGTTTCTGTGTACAATGTTCTCCAGGTTCTGCTCATTTCACTCAGCATCAGACCATACAAGTCTTTCCAGGTGTATCTGAAGTCTGCCTGTTCATCATTT